GCCTTGAATATAGCATTTTCCATGGAACCATAAGGCAGGTTGAATAATGATATTGATCTGGGAAAGAGGCTTTGAAGGAGCTCCACTACCATTCTTCCCACTCTGGTGGTTATCAGGCTTTTAGTTTACATTGTGACTGCAGGCTGTTGGTTTTCACCATGATCGCTTTGGTTTTTTAAAGCCATCTCAGAACTGCAGAGTAGAGGATCAGAAAAGGACAAGTGAAAATGCCACAGAGCTTCCTTGTCTTACTAGAATTCAGACTTTTTCCTTGAATAAATGCTCCTTGCATTGCTGAAACCTTTGGCTTATATCCAGAGTTCTGAAGAATTTGATTCTGACAATGTTTTCTATTTTTTCTTAAAAAATTTTTTTTTGATGTGGACCATTTTTAAAAAAGATTTATTTATTATTTATTTATTTAATTTATTTTTGGCTGTGTCAGCTCTTAGTTGTGGCACATGGGATCTTTGTTGGGGCATGCGGGATCTTTTGTTGCAGTGTGTGGGCTCTTTGTTGTGACACACGGATTTCTCTCTAGTTGTGGCATGTGGGTTTTCTCTTCTTTAGTAGTGGTGCGCAGGATCCAGGGCATGTGGGCTCTGTAGTTGTGGCGCGTGGGTTCCAAAGTGCATAGGCTCTGTAGTTTGTGGCACACAGCCTCTCTAGTTGAGGTGCATGAGCTCAGTAGTTGCGGTGCACGGGCTTAGTTGCCCCGTGGTATGTGGGATCTCAGTTCCCTGACCGGGGATCGAACCCGCATCCCCTGCATTGTAAGGCAGATTCTTTACCACTGGACCACTAGGGAAGCCCCTGTTTTCTATTTTTATCGTTGATTTTATGGGGGAGAGAATTTTATGAGGTCCTAATTCTGTAATTATCAGAATCATCTCTAAAGATCTGATGATGACTATCGTCATCTCTAAAGATCTTATCATGTGACTATATAACATGCTCCAACTGGTATTTATTTGAAAACATATTTATAATATGTTACATTCCCTAAGCCTGGAATTTTTCCAGCTGATTCTTTAAGTTAAGGAGTCAGAAAAACTTAGTTCTTTGGAAGTGTGTGCTATGTCCATAATGACCAATAAAATGTAGAAGGCTAGTGAGAGAGATTGAATACTTTAATTCAGTTTTCAAAAATAAAGTGAATGAATGTCTGGAATATTTCATGCAGTTCTGGTTTCTATACATTAAGAAATCATAATAGCAAGCAGAGATATGCATATAATATAAAATTAAAGTTAAGACAAGTTTGTCTTCTAGACAAATTAAAAAGACAAAGGCTGCAGAAAAGAAAATTTATCTTTGATTAATAAATTTATGGAAGTTGTTTTCTCAAGGGCTAATAGAGGTGAAATTTATCATATTAAAATTTTGCTGCCTTTTACTCTCATTTTTTCAGAAAACTTGACAGAGCAGTAGAAATCAATTAAAATTAAAAAATGATTCTTACCTGAATGTAAAATATGTCAAAATTTAGATCTAACAGGATTTAACCCAGGTCAAACCTTTGTCCCTGATACTGTAGCAGATTTAGAGATTATAGTTTGATACATTGTTCCATTCAGAGGAACCATAATTTGACCAAGAGTATGACCAAAAGCATGTTTTTCCATTAGCAGGCCAGAAGTTTATGTGTTATACACTGAATAAAAATTAGAAATTATTTTATTGCTAATTGAAAGGAGATATCAAATCCTAGGTCCAATAGTTTAGGTCCAAGACCCGTGACAAGATTTGAATTTGACCATGAATCATGGAAATTGCAGTGTTTTGAGTCTGACTCTTAAAGCTCTAAATTGATTTTGGTGGTTGAAACTGGATCTTGGCATTTTTATTTAATTTTTATCAGTGTATTTCCTGTGGTTACTATTATTGTATGTATGTATGTATTATGTATGTATGCATTTAGAGAGAAAAAAATGGAGAGATTTTTTAGTTTTGATTTTTTTGTCACGAACAATTAGGGCCTTCAACATAAAGTTCTAAAATAAATCAGTGTCAGCATAAAAGATGAAAATATAGTAGGGTACATGAATTTAGTTATATTATGCTCAGGGTGTATTTGGTTGAATTATGCATTAAAAAGTAAAACATAAAGCAGACTACACTGTGCATGATGCCTCCCACTTGGAGGGTTAGGGCACCATTCTAGGGGAGATACACTGGTAGCATAGAAAAGGCTGGTGGCAATAAGGACATGAAGTGGATGGATGAAACGTGTTTAAGAAAGTGAAAAACCAACATTTATAATTTCTTTTTTCCCCACGTAATATAATTCACTTCACCAAGATTGCAAACTTTTTGGCTTTAAACATCCATTCCATTCCAATAAAATGAACTTTCTTTCCTGTTGGTCTTCCTCAGAATAAATACTGTGCTCTCTTCATAGATGTTTGAAAATACTTCTAAAATATCTTAGGGAAAAAGTCTTAACATGGGGATCTTGATACTAAAACTAGCACAAAAGCATTTTCATTTGGCCTATACACGGTTTAAAAAAATTGAATTAGTTGTCAACCTTTATATGTAGGGAGCTTCTTCACATGAAAATACAAATTTTTAGCTTTCCTTGAAAATGTGGGTGCTTGACCAGATGGCTTCTCTTAGCATGTAGCAGCCCACTGAGGTTGACCAGCTGCCTGAAGACCACATGCTCTCCAGACTCCCTTGATCCTACCTGACAGTTTCACTCATTTTACAGGACACATTTCTGCTCCCCCTGGAGGCACTTAAGTTTGCAACTTATGCCCAAATGTTAAACAAAACCCCCTCTATAGGTAGTTTATAAGTAGTAAGAATACTACTTATTAGTTTGGATCAAGAGTGGTCAAACAGCTTTATATCATTAGTGTTTGTTCTGTAAAGATGGTGAAGCTATAAAATGTTTCCTTTATGTCTCTGGGCCACTTGAAGTTGGGAAGCCCAGGTATGTGAGTCAGGAGAAAGGGAGGAGAAGGAAAGAAGGAAGAGAAGTGGTAATAGAAGAATATATACAAGCCTTTGGAGACATGGGGAGCTAAGAACTGACCTAAGTGGCTCCAGAGTGTGGCATTTAAAAGCCATCTTGCAGGGCTTCCCTGGTGGCGCAGTGGTTGAGAGTCTGCCTGCCGATGCGCGGGACGCGGGTTCGTGCCCCGGTCCGGGGGTATCCCACATGCTGAGGAGCGGCTGGGCCCGTGAGCCATGGCCGCTGAGCCTGCGCGTCCGGAGCCTGTGCTCTGCGACGGGAGAGGCCATAACAGTGAGAGGCCCGCGTACTGCGAAAAAAAAAAAGGTCATCTTGCAGACTAGAGATTAGGAGAGGAGGAAACTTGACAGATGTTGTTGATTAGAAGCTTTGGGTTCATAAAAATGAGAGACACATAGAGGAAAATTTCTGTATCTGAGTGAGTTTTTCATGGTTGGGGATTTTTATAACTGGGGATAAAACCATTTTGTTAACAAGTCCAAGCTTGCTCTGCTCGCCGCACGACAGGCCAATACACTGGGAGACAAGGTGTTGAGGCAAGGACTACGACGTTATTAGGAAAGCTGGCACACTGAGAAGATGGCAGACTAGTGTCTCAAAAGAACCATCTTCTCGGGGTTTGGATGCCAGTTCTTTTTATAGAACAGAGAGGGAGAGGAGATGAGGAAGTAAAGTAAAAAGACCATAAGTTTTGCAAATATCCCCTGGAATGGCCAGCCTTGGGGAGGGGATGTGTTAATTTCTTCTTTCTTGCAGCCATCCTCAGGTGGACAGGGTCAGGATCCTTCCCTGAACAAAGGCACTTTGGTTTAACATTCAGGCAGAGGGGCAGGGTTCCCTGAAGCAGGCCGTTATGTATAGACAGTACCCTTTTAGTGAACAAAAGCAGCGGAAAGCAAAGATTAAAGTAAAAGAAACAGATCTAACATGTAGTCAGATTTGGCTCTTCCCTGTTACATTACAATTTTACCTTTATTTGAGGGGTACACTTGGGGCCCAGCAAGAAAAAAAAAGGAGAGAAGGAATTCTAATTTATATTTCAGAGATAGAAAAGATCCTTGCTTCCCCCTTTCCTCCCCACCTCCCTCTCTCCCTCCCTCCTCCCTTCCTTCTCTTCCTTGTTCCTTTTCTTTTTCTTTCTCTCAAACAATTTATTGAGCATATGCTGTCCTAGTGATGTACATAGCTGACTGTCATCCAAGGCAATATGTGTTTACTACTGTGATAGAGGCTCAAGGTGCAATAGGAGAGGGCCTGGGCTCAACTGGGGAAGGTGGTATGATGTGAAAAGAGAGAGGGGTTTGGAGTCACATATATCTGGATGACATTTAGATTCCACAACTCCCTCGCTCTATAGCCTTTAATGAGTTATCTCCAAATCCTACTTTCCTCATCTGTTAACTTGGAGCGTTGGTATTAGCTGGGCACTTACCATATACTAAGTACAGGTGTGTATTATTTTAGTTGATCCTTACCAGAGCACCATGAAAAAGACAGTTATTATTCTGTCTTTTACTGATGAAATGGAGGCAGACTTTCTGTCCCTTTTCCAAGGTCACACAGCTGTTTTATTATCATTAAGATATGGTAAGGCCATAGATAGATGGAATAGATCAGATCAGACGATGACTGCCATTGAAAAGGAAGTTTGCTATACTCACAGGTCCCAAGAGGAAGGGACATACCATGGCAGGGGTGGGGTTGTGGGGCACTGGAGTTGGTCAGGAGACAGAGGGAGAGGGGGAAACTAGGCAAGAGCCTTTACTGTGATTTCCATGGGAAGGACCAGGAGAGACAGATGAAGCAGGTTTAGGATTGGCTAATTTGAATAATCCCAGTAGGCTCTGGGGTCTGTGTGCTGTCCCTAGTTGCCTTGGTACCTAGCCCTGAGGTGAGCAGGGCAGGCAGATCGTAGCCTGGAGTGTGAGAGTCCAATAAAGGAGGTGGTTAAGAGTGTGGGCTGTGGGTGGTTGGTTTACATTTGAAAAACATACATTTTTTTTTTTTTTACTATCTCCAGGAATTGGATAACCTTGGGAGGGGCAGTCCCTCTGTGGTCAGCAAGGCTCGAGATGTCAAAGCATCAGGATACAAAAAAATAAAAGGTAAGGTCAATACAATGGCTTGTCAATAAGTGATGGAGCTTGGATACTGATTTCTTGACTCAAGCCCAAGTCCTTAACATTCTGTGGTAGGACGCATAGAAGAGCCCAGTTGAGGGATCTGAGGACATGACCAGTGGACCTAGAATTGGAAGCCAGTTCATTAATTATCATAATTTAGTTGAGCTGGTTTATTGCATGAGACCACGGCTATGCCTCCTTGTATATACTGGGTTGGCCAAAAACTTCATTTGGGTTTTCCGTAACATCTTACAGAAAAACCCGAACGAATTTTTGGCCAACTCAATACATGAGCCTTCATGTACCTGAAGTAAATGTTCTTCCTGATAGACTGACAGAGCAAAGGAAGTGCTGCAGTGAGATTAGCAGAGGAGATAGAGATTCATAAAAGGAAGACCGCCATGGTTATTATGACCCGGCTCAGTAGAGACAATGCCTCCCTCTCTCTTACAAGGAGTTTCAAAGTCACTAGTTACAGTAAAAGCTCATGACTCTAAGGACCGTTTTGGACCCACTTTGTCAAAATTCCTTGGCTTGAAGGGGTGTTTCTTGCCCTAAATGCTTCCTCTGAGGTCACCTCAGGCCTAATGTGGGTAGACTTAGTCTGAGAAGAGAAGGTGAGTAAGGCAGCAGGGAAGACGTACCCTGAAACAGCTGTTGCACCATTGTTCCCCTTAAGCCCCTCATTCTTTCCTTTATTACAGCAGCTGCACAGTCCAGGTTCATTTTCAGAGTCTCTGCCCCTTGGCCAGATGTTGGAAATTTTACAGGATGCAGGAACTAAGGAGTGAGACCCCACCCTCAACAAAACTGCTCGTGCTTTTCCAAATTCAGGAGAGATCACCCCGCAGTTAGTTTGTAGGGAAAAATAACTGTAACAGAACCTGTTTTTCATTTACTCAACAAATTAATTGCCTATTTACACATGTAGTTCTGAAATGTTTACCAATATATGACATTCCTGAAATTTCACAAGCTCTCTTTAAATAGTACACTTTATTTTCAGGCACAATTGAAGAACTCACTGAAAATCAATTCTTGCTTATAAAAATAGGTTCTATATTACTTATTTGCTGTAACTCAATGATTTGCTATATGTGAAGATAGCTTAAATACAAGTTTAGTTGAAGACGACTTTATTGTCAATATGAACCCCAGTAAACAGTGACTTTTTCTAGTTTTATTTCATGGAATAGCAAGTTAATACCATTTTTTATGAATGTGGAAATAAGTCACTTTTTAAAATGCAAATGACCTGATTTCTTTAAAGACATCTTTTACTAGAAAATTTGGACTCTAGAATGAAAGCTGCAGGAAAACGAATATATTTCCCTTTAATGTGGTGAAAGGTGGCTTTTAGAATGGAAGTAGCAGGTTTCCTCTAAATGAATCCTGGCCAGAAGATGGAGAAAATTTGCCAAAATGACAATGATTATGTACAAATATCAGAGTCAATACAACACACTCTTAAAATGAAATGAAGTTCGCAGGGCGGCAGAAACATTTGAATGATGAAGCCAAGGACTGACAACAATTGTAGTGTGAGTTACTGTTTATTTTTGAGGCTAAAATATTTGATTTCAATCAAGAGTCACTATTGTTTAGAATAAATTCTATTTTGTTAAGATTACTCCCTTAGCATTTAATCAAAGAAGGGCTGGAAGGAAATTTGCTTTTGTGAAATCTTCTGATGCAGGAAGCCACTTTAAAAGTGGCTCAATAAGTATCCTGTCTTATAGACAATTCATTTGGTGGGTGATGGGATTTGTAAACTGAAAATAAGAATTCTATTGCTGGACTAAAGAGTGACTATTCCCTATAATATATATTTGAATGATAGTCCCCTGCAAAAATATATTTGTTGTGTAACTGAATTTGGGGTTGGGAAACTTCGTTAGAAAATTACCCTCTTTGGAAAGACTGCAATTAAGAGCCAATCCTATATCCATAGAAGTGCTTTAAACATTTGCTTCAACTTTAAGTCCAACTTGAGTCTCATAAGATTTGGGTGGTTGGGTAGAGTTTGGGTAATGGCTTCCTCACATGTATGGTGTTGCTGGTGGCTTTGTATCTCCAGAACATGGATGGATTTCCATCTGGAAGGAGAACATCAGTCTTGAGTTAGAGGATCAGGCAGACTGAGGGGGGCAGGAAAAAAGAGAGAGATTCAGACAGAGGCTGGCACAAAGGGGTGCTTTGCTTCTCATTACTCATCGTCTGAATCCCAGGATTAGGCTATTCTATTGTTTTCTGTTTTAGACTGCGATGGTCTTCATAAATCTAAGACATGTGTATAATTCTTTGTAGTATCTCAGAAATATCCAGCCAAAAGGTTTTAATCACCCCCAGAAGTTTTAGAAAAGTTCTGGTGTAGTTTTCACATCACGTGGGTCGGTTAACAGGGCATCCCAAATTGGAGCATTCCTGTTGATGGCAAGGGGCCCTGAAACCTATCCAAATGTTTTGTTTATCATTTGACTGCCTTTGATTTAGTAGGGACAACCTGTATCTATGCTGTGGGTAAGAACATCATGTCTTAGGAATCCCCTCAAATGTATTTGATCTTCAGAGGTACTTCAGGGTCCTCGTTCGTTGCAGCTACATATCTGTGATGCATCCATCTAGTTTTGTAACTTAGAGAGTGGCAGAGATGTCACCCAGGAGTAGTGATGACCACCTAGTGAGAGAAATAATGTAAATGCTTCTGAGGAGACTGAGTAGAGACAACAACAGCTCTACTCTAACACCTTCCTGGGGGGGAGCGGTCCTGGGCACAAGAGGATAACTTGGGGTATATTTCAAATTAGGAACCTCACGCATGGAAAGCTCACCTCTTCTTCCTGGTTGGCTGCACTGATGTGACCTTCACTCCCTGCCCTTCCCTTCTTTTCATTGCTTTCTCCTTGGTCACTCTCTCCAAATTTTCTCTCCTATGAAATAAAATCCTACCATCTTGGCACCCTCTAATTCTCTGGTGCTTTTTGACACCCAGAAGCTGTGCTCTGAGGGACATTATTGTCTGATATCCTCCTGACTAGTGAGCCTGTCTTTTACCCCTTTAAATCTCACCTATTGTAGGTTGATTGAGTGCATTCTATGTGTGCATGTAAAAAACAAAGAATTAGCTAATGCTGCTACCTTGTTGACTCTTAAGTCATTCAGAAGAGTGCAAACAATAGGGTTTTAAAACTCAGAAGGATAGTGATGCAATAAATCCAACTTGCATTTCCTTGTGCTGCTTCATTCAGATAGGAATACTTGGATATGTGTGGCCTTGTCTGTGCAGTCATTTGAGATGAATATTGTCCCCCTATAAACATATGCACTCTCTTTGAGTGTGTGAGAAGGCATAAATAATTTCTAGACAGATAGGATGCTGTTTCAGCTTTTATTATACCTTTTTTTGGTAGCTAACCTATTGTTTTAAGACAAAGAAGACTAGCAGGACTATTTTGAAAGACATTTTCACAAACATTGCTCTTGGGAGTGTAAATTGGTACAAAATTTATGGAGGGCTATTCAACAATATATGTTAAAAGCCTTGAAAAACTCATACTCTTTGAACTCAATAATTTCACTGTTTTGTATTTACTCTAAAAAGAAAAAAAATCACAAATATCCAGAAAGATTGATATCCCAGAATTTTTCATATCAGAGTTAATAGCAGTGAAACATTGCATACCCTATGTCCAACAATTGAGAATGATTAAATAAATTATGGCACACGTATATAATGAAATCCATTTATGCATTTAAAGTCCTGTTTATATATAAAAGGCTCAAAAAAACAACCAACTCCTAATAATAGCTATTTCTTGGTAGTATTTCAGAACATTTTCTTTCTTTCATTATATTTTTATTTATTTTACAACTTTTTCTGCCTTGAGTATCGATTTTTAAATGAGGAATATAGTATAAAAATTAAAATAAGGAAATGTCCATTAATTATATTAACCACTAACCATATTATTAAGTTGAATCATTAACTGTATTACTAACTTGAATTTTTTAGGGACTGATTGTTCATCTTTTTGATTATCTAAGAACTTTATTTCTTTTCCTTTTTTCCATCCTTGAAGCTCTGCTTCTGTTGATTTCATTACTTATTTGCCCTGTGGTTCAAAGTGAATGAACAGAGAGAAGAGGAAGCAGACTCCTAGGACCTTCTTATAAGCTGGATTTTAATATAGCTTTTATTAATGATAAGTAAGGGAAAGTCTGTTGGTAACAAATTATTTTTTTAATAAATTGTTTTTGTAGAGGTTGTTTAAATGTTGAGATTATATGAGAACCAGCAGCAAAGTTTCTGAAGGGCTTCTGGTTCTTTGTCCTAAAAGAGAGGTAGGAGCAGAGCACGTGTGGGCAGGAAATCAAAATGGTGTCCTCCTGGGTCAGTGGCGCCCCAGAGGCGGGGGCCCTGAGGAGAAGAGCTGTTGACCTGACACAAAGGACTCAGAGTTTTGTTTTGTTTTGTTTTTTTTCTTAGCCTCCTTTTCTTCTAACCTACTCTCATCGAGAAGTTTCTGAGTCACATACTGGTTATGTGGAATATTTAAAACACTTCAACTAGAGAGTACTGAGCAAGAATTACTTAAACAACTGCTCCATGTAATGATGATGACTATGGGCCTAATGATTAAATTCATGTGTTTGGTAAAAAGAATCACATTCTTATAATGTATGTTCTATTTGGTAGGCACAAAGATACTTCTGTTTTTATCATCTTAACACAGTCAATAGCATGGGCCGTTTTATGCTTGGTTACTGGCTGTGAACAATGGAAAATGCAGTATTAAGAGATTACACAAGGGCACATGCTTCCCGGTCTTGGCTTTTTGTCTTTTTAAATGTCTCATGGTTAAAAACTTTTGTTTTACTAACCTTTATGAAGGCTGAAATAAGTTGATTTATGTCTAGTTAATTAGCCCAAGGGAAGTCGCTGCAGAGCTCAAAGCCCAAATTGTTTTATTAAAGTTGGGGAG